GGTGCGTGAACTTGAGCTCCTGAGGGGCCGTGGCGCGGCGCGGTTTTGAAGCTGGTTCTGCGCCTGCACGACCAATCTTCAGATGTCCGGTTTCCGAAGAAGGAGAACGAGGAGGAGCGAGCGTCCCTGAGCGAAGGTCCATCCTCGCGCTCCAGGGCCGCGCGGCCGCTGCGCCGAGCCTCTCAGGTCCACGTTGAAGGTGCCCAGGCGGTCGGCAGCGTCGAGGTAGCCAAGGTGGTCCTTTTCGAAATCGTACTCGCAGTGATAATCGCAGCTGTTCTGGTAGTCTGCGTCAACCTCCGCGCCCGAAGGGGCAGCAGAAGCAATGGCAGGGGAAGCCCCCGCCGCGGCGAAGGAGTCGGCGACCATGAAGCCGAACGGATCGAAGTTGTCGATCATGACGACGACGTCAACGTGAGCGAAGAGAGCCTTGCTGCGAGCACGGAGCGGCAGAAGGTCATAATGTCGAAAGAAACGGGCGCCAGGCATCGCGCGCCCATGAAGGCGCGCATCACCTTCTTCACCACTCACCCGCTGCGCAGCGAATCAGGGGGTCACCAGCGGGCAGAGGGACTGAAAGGGCACCGCGACCAGATGCAGCACCTCTGTCAGCAGCATCGTCAACGCGCCCCTGGGGGCCGACATGCACAGCAGCAGCTTCAGCAAGAAGCGACGGGTAGCGCGGGTCGTCGTCAGCGTTATCCCAGCTTGCCGCACCCCAGACGGGGTCAGCACCATCGGCAGCAGAAGCACGTTCGATACCGAGCTGTTGTTGGCCACCATCAGCGGCAGCAGCCAGAAGGGCAGCACTTGCACCCAGCGGCGGGGGCAGAATCCCCGTTCCATGGAAGCAGTTGACGCGGTCGGTATCCTCTTTGCAAGTGATGCACCTCATAGCGTTCGACTCTGCGTGAGCAGCGCGAGCAGGGGGAGCCGCAGGGCGCTGGCCAAGAGGGGGCTGATGGTCACAGTGCGCCGACGGAGCTGAAGGGGTCGCAGTGCTACTCGTCGAAGGCACCTTGGCGACTGAAGTCGTCGCCGTTGGGGCCGAACAGGCCGTGGGGGGCGGAAGTGATGAGGGCGCGTCCCGAGCGGCAGCTGCGCGTTCATCAGAGTCCAGCATCGCGAAGATCTCAACCGCATTGCATCAGGCAGCACGCGCCTGCCACAGAGAGGACGACAGGGGCAGCGCAGATAACAAAGCTGGGGATACAGCAGCAACCCGAATGTGTTCCTTCGAGGCCGGTTCGAACGAGACGTCCACGAGGTGAGAGTGCCGGCAAGCGTCGCCGCCCCTGCAGCGAGGGAAGAAGCGGCGCGCGGGGCGCCAGGCCACACGAGGGCCAACGTCCAGCACCTTCAAGCAGAAGAAGTCCCGAGCCTTGACAGGACCACCAGGATGCGGCTGGGCTTCGGCAGGGGGCGGTACACCAGTACCTGAGCCCTGAGCGGCATCCACAAGGCGGCGATCCGCGCAAGCGGCAGCAGCAGCAAGGAGAACACCAGCGCCAGCATCGTCATCCGCTCCAGCACGAACTGCGGGCAGTGGGCGACCAGCGGCAACAGCACGAACAGGGTGAGCGGCATTGTAGCGATCACGATCGTGAACGGCATCCTGGGGACTATCGACCCGATCCGCAACAGGATCACCAGGAAGCGGAGGACGAACGCCACGAGCAGCGGCGGCAGCGTCGGCACTAGCAAGCTCTGCAGGTAGATCACCAGCGGCATGGGGAACGGCATTACCATCGGCATCACCGCCAGCAGTGGGCCGGGCTCGCTCCTCGAAGATGCAGAGCTCGCTCTCGAAGACGAGGTCATCCAGGAAGTAGTCATTGTCCAGGTACACGTTGGGCTCCGATGTCTGAACCATATTGAGTGGTGTCCAGCTGTAGGCGAAGAACGTCGTAGCCAACATACAGATGAGCTCGTTCATCGTAAACGTGAGCTGAGCCATGTACGAGAAGAGAAGGTCACTCGTCTGCATCGCCGCCTCGGGTTGCAAGCAATTGCTGGAAGGGCATGCCGTCGTGCTGGAGAGAGACGGGTCTCCCGCTCGAGGCGGAGGTCGGTCGTGCAGTGCAACATCGTCGTCATCGTCAGAATGTACATCTGCCCAGCGAGGGCGAGAAGCAGCAGCATGGTCACTACGGCCAGGGCGAACTTGAACTCCATCGGGGTCCTGCCGACCAGAACGGTCATGATGTCCAGCGTGGTCCGCATCACGACGCACACCAGATCCATGAAGGGCTTGTTGACGATGCTTGGCGGCGTCCGCCAGCTCCAGCGCCGCCCGCGCGGCCGCATGGCCGTCAGGGGAGAGCACACCTCGTCGGAGCGCACGATGTGCAGCAAGCTTGCCAGAAGCAGCTGGGGCGATCCCATGAATCAGGCCCTCACTATCGAGAATACGATGAATGGCCTTACCTTGGGCCATGCGCTTCACATCAGCCCTGTCAGCCACATCCACTTCCACAAAAGCCTTCCCAGGCCCACTATGGGAAGTCGCGTACCAAGAATCCCGCTCGCGGCGGCGACGTTGAGCTCCAGTGAGCGGGGCCCCCGCAGCAGAGGCGGCCACCCAGGAACGACAGCTCGGCATCGAAGAACTGCCCGCAGCAGCGCCCACGCACAGGTGGGAGTGGAACACGAAGAGAGAGCAGAACACTATGAAGCAGCAGGCGACATCATCCCGACGGATCCCGCGCGAAGGCGGGCGCGCGCAGCCACCAGGAGCCAGGGCAGGCTCGGTAGCTCTTGAGCCAAAATGGCTACGGAGATGGAGGAGGAGGAGAAGGAAGGGGAGAAGGGAAGGAGGAGGAGGAGGAGGAGGGGAAGGAGGAGAGACAAGAAGGAACGACGAAAGGATGGAAATATGTAGGGAAGAGGATAATGCAGATGCATTTGATAGGGAAACGAGCTCTATACACCGACGCTTTTTCCGACCCTGCGCTGAAATTCACACAGGAACGCGGATCCTGGTGTATTCGGGATCCTGGTGTATACATGTTTCGTGGTTTCCCTCGGAAAACGGGGGAAAAGGTATACACCACACCACCCCGACGTCGTCCCCGACCCTCAAAAAGTCCTGGGATTGAAAAACAGCCCGCCACTGGTAATGCATATGTTCCAGTTTCCTATTTGATGCGTGATCCCACGCCGAACCCTTGGAGGCTTGGAAATTGACACCAACACCAACACAGGGGGTTGCCTCCACAGGGCGAAGATGATCCTAGATTTCGGTGGTGGTGGTAATATTTCGGTCGCCTTGGAAGCCCAAATATGTTCCACCATCACCGAGATCGGGGTCGCCATCCCTCTGTGGAAGCACACCGCCGATCTTTGTGTTGGTGTCAACTTCCAGGCCTGCGAGCATTTGATGCGCGATCCCGCGCCGAGCCCGTGGGCCACGCGGCGGTGCCCCGCACAAGCGCTCCCGCCGGGCGGGAACCCGGAGGGGCTGGACAGTTTTCGCCAGGGGCCAAGCCGAGGCCCTTTCCGTCCAGTGCCTCGAGCGCCATCTGGCGGACTCGGGTGCACAAGCAAGCCTGGGGGCCGCCAGAGGGAGGGGGGGAGGAGGAGGAGGAGGAGGAGGAGGAGGAGGAGGAGGAGGAGGAGGAGGAGGAGGAGGAGGAGGAGGAGGAGGAGGAGGAGGAGGGGTAGGAGGGGTAGGAGGGGAAGGAGAGGAGGGGGAGGAGGAGCTGCTCCATCCCTCCGATCGCCTCTCGAGCCCCAGGCGGCCGCCCGCGGTTCCAGGACGATTCTGGGCACACCAGGAGGCTCTCGACGAGGGGCAGGTGCTGGAAACCCACCTGTGAAGGGGCCCCAGGACACACAAATAAATACACACAAATAACAGGATTCCTCATATTTTCCCATGCTGTCAGGGTTTTTGTCTGCACCCCCTTCCCATATTTTTGCATATTTTCCTGGGAACCGACGATTCGTCGTGTCTGTGTGCTTTTTCCCCTCCTGAACCTGGGCGCCACCCAAACATCGAGCTAGCAGGAAACACCAGAACCTCTCTGGGAGCCGCACTGGCGAGGCGATGCGCGAAAGGGGCGCTCTCATTTCCAGGGGATCGAGACACACCCAGCCGTGGCGACGAGGGCCTTGAGGAGGCCCAGCAAGGGCGAAAGACGTCAGGAAAAAGGAAATGCAACGATAGCCCCGACGTCTGACGTCGTGACACTATCGTTACGCGGGCGCCCATTCCTCCCCGCCAAACTCCCGGGACCAGTGTCCCATCCCGGGCAGTTTGCCCGAAACGGGCTTCTCCAGTCTCCAAAGATAGGAAGTACGGCCTTGAAGACACAGCCGTCTCGATTCTCTCAGCAAGCGCAGTACACCCTGCGAAATGCTTAAGAAATCATGGGTTAAGAAACTCAGAGTCTCAGAATTTGAATAAAAACCCAGAACTTCTATTAAAATCTTAGGATTTACATTGAAGCATTAAGAATAATCGAGACTCTCGCCGAAAACTTAGGTTTTCTTAAGCATCGCCTAAGGTGTACCAACCCTGGGCAGGAGTGGCCCTTCCTGCGCGGCCTGCCTGCCGTCGCCTGTGATGCGCAGGCCTGGGCTTCAAGGGCTCCCAACTTCGCGCGTCGCGCTGCGCGAAGCGCGAAGTGCGAATAACTCCGCGCTCTCGCGCCGCCTCCCATGGGATAAGAGGAGGATGAGGGATCGGAGCCGAACCGCGAAGCGCGAACAACTTCGCGCCCTCGAGGGCGCCCTTGGGCTTGGCCCCCCCCCCGCGCCCCCCCGAGAGCCGCGCCCCAGGGGGGCCTTCCGGCGACGGGGTCGCCCTGCAGTCGCGTGTGTCCGGCCAGCCCGGACCCCCGACGCCCCAGACCGACCCTCGGCCCGTCCTCGAGGAGGAGGAGGAGGAGGGGGAGGAGGAGGGGGAGGAGGACGAGGAGGAGGAGGAGGAGGAGGAGGAGGCGGAGGAGGAGGAGGAAGAGGCGGAGGAGGAGGAGGAGTCTGCTTCCCTCCGGCGCCTCGGCCCTCTGCAGGTGCTCCCGCAGCCGCCCCATCTGCACGAGCGACTGCGCACGCTCGCGCTCGTGCGAGCTTCGCCACTCGCCTCGCAGCTGCTCTTCGGCGAGGGCGAGCGCCGACGCGAAGGCGCGCTCCTCGGGGCGGCACTGCCCTCCTCGGCCTCGTGGACGTTGTCTTCACAACGCAGACGCAACGCGATGGAGTTTATGGCCGTGCACTGCACTAGCTAATCCACCTGCCATGCGCACGCAGTGCATGCGCAGTGCGTACGCAGTGCGTAAGGAGTGCGACGCAGTGCACAATCAATGCGAGCGCACTGGAAAGGCAACGCTAAACAACGCTAGCGCAATGCCATGCAAACAATGCAACGCAGTGCGGTGTGCATGCAATGCTCACGCAATCAACGAGCAACGCATATTTATGCACAGCCAACGCTATGACAATGCGAAACAACACAATGCAACGCCGAACAATGGACAGCATCTAAACCGCAGACTATTACAAACGCGTGCAGAACCAATGCAGCACCAATGCGATCTGGCGCAGTGATAAGCGAATCCTCGTTATGCCAAGCAATGCGCGGCAAATGCTGACGCAATGCGAAACCAATGAAACCAGAAATGCAACTCCAACTCGAATGCACATCAGCATCGTGTCGCGATGCTGTATGGCGTGCGGTGTGTGCGATGCTATGGCGTTGCATGTATGATGTGAAGGCCTGCTGGTGCAGTACTGTGCAACGCACTACGAGGTGGTGTGCTTTATGGCATGGCTTCAAACATCAGCTATGACATGCTACGCAAAGGGGTGCATGTTTTGCTCCGCTATGGAGTCTTATGCCACAGTGCTTATAATACTGTATCGTAGTGTGTGCTATGCAATACTTTCGAAGCCCATGACATAATGTAAGTGGAAGCGTTGCTCGTTGCAACCTGTTGAAGTTGGTCAAGAGGCCGACCGGCAGAAGAGATCGCGACCCTGGCCCTCTGCAAAGAAGAGGCGGCAACCGTTTTTTTGGATAAAGAGTCCATCGTCGTCGTCCCCCGAGCCCACTGCTCACCTCCAGCACCACCTCCTCCTCAGACAAACAACACATGTCGTACCCACATGTCCTCTGACACCGAGCGGACCCGCGGCAAAGATGAAGAGCAACGCGAGCAAATTGAAAATGATCGCGACGAGCCCAGCACCGTGACTGGGCTGCCTAGCCAACCAACTCGTCGACCAGGCGTCGCGCCTCCTCCTCTGCCTCCCCCTCTTCCTCTTCTTCCTCCTCTTCCGCCGTCTCCCCACTTCTAAGGGCATGGTGGGGGGCAAGGTCGGACTTCTGCCAAACAGATCCTGGCGTTCCGCGCGTTCCCGGACGTGGATGTCGTGGCTGCGCTCCCAGTCGTAGTCCTGCTGGCCCTCGAACATGGCCTTCTCCCTCTTCTGCTCTCGGCTGAGGCCCTCCTGACGTCGCGACCCCAATCATCCAGCGTCTTGAACAAGTCCACACGGGGCTTTCCCGTCTTCCACTGGGACAGAAAAGCTGACCCTGGGGAACGTGTCGAAGGGTCCAGTGGCCACTGATGGAGCAAACTCAAAGTGTCGCAGATCTGGGAGGGAAGCCCTTCCCAGTTTTTTATTGCTGGGTTGAAGATCTTGCTCCTGGAGGTTTTCGAGCACTGCTGCTTTCCACCAGCTGCGCCTCGCCGAGGGGCGTTCGGAAGGGCCCGGCTCGTCCCAAAGCGGCCGTCGGAGGGCCCGAAAATGAGGACCCGAAGGCCATCTGGAGGCAGGACCCTGAGATCCGAGGGTCGGAACAAAGCACGCCTACATTGGGAGCTCGACCACGAGAAACCTTCCACAAGAAACCCAAGCCTGAGACCCCAGAACGTCCATTGGTTTTTGGTGAGGGAGCGTCGCGCTGTCCATAGCAGACCCCTCGAAACCCAAGAAACCCGGGGCACCCTGGAGGCAAACGGGGTGTTTCTTGGCATGGGTTTCCACTGTAATGTTTTTGCCTCCTTTTGGGCCTGCAGCCCTCACGGATAGATCCGTCCCGGAACACTCAGCGCATGGGGGTCGGCATCTCGGGCGTTGCTGAAATCCCTGCCGCGCAGGAAAGTTCCACCAATCTTCAGCCGTACCTTGCAGCGAAGGAGATTGCGACCCAACCCGCGATATGAGCCCAACGGGACGCTCCGCCAGTTCATGGAAAATCCGAAATTTGGGAACGAATCGTGGGACGTGCGCAGGCCGAGCCGATTTCCGATGCAAGCGAGAAGAGGGAAGCAGCCAAGTCGGGATATGCTCAGCATGGTCTGCATACTCAAAGAAAGAGCCTGGAACGACCAACACGCGCGCTTTTGCGTCCGCGGAGCGCTCGCTCGCTCAACCGGCAAGTCAAACCATGCATCCGCCACCGTGCCTCTGGGCACGGAGTGGGCGTGTCCTCAGCACCTTTACCTAATCTTCTGAGCCTCACGCCTCACTCCTAAGGAGTCTCTTAAGGGCGCGGAGCCCACTTTACCAAATTTGGCGGGGCTTGTCGCGACTTGTCGCTGGACTTTTCGGAGCCAACAGGGCCCCAAGACGGGCCAAGAGGGCCCCAAGAGGCCCCGAAGACGATCCAAGAGGGCCCAGAGTCGCCGAACGATCGGCCCAAGATACCCAAAACTGCCCAAGGCCTCCAAGACGTCCCAAGAGGCCTCCAAGAGGCCTCCCAATAGGGCCCCAAGAGGCAAACATATTTGATTGTTCTTTTCACGTAGTGTTTGAAAGTGTTTGGCGTTCTCGCCTTTTCGGCTTCCCGACGTTCCCACATGGCCTTAGAGGCCCCAAAGGTCGCACCAAGACGGCCCAAGAGGCCTCCAAGACGGCCGCAAAACGGCCCAAGAGGGCCCCAAGAAGGCCCAAGAGGCGCCCAAGACGGCCCAAGAGGCCCTAAAGACGGCTCCAGAAGGGGGCCCAAATGGGGGACCCGAGCGGACATGTCGAGCCCTCGGCCCCGAGGGGCCCCCAAAAGAGGCTCCAAAAGGCCCCCGAGAGGCCCCCAAGAACGCACACGCACACGCACACACGCACATGCACACGCACACGCACACGCACACGCACACGCACACGCACACGCATACACGCACACGCACACGCACACGCGCACACGCACACGCACTCGCACTCGCACTCGCACACGCACACGCACACCCTCACCCTCCATTCCCCGGCCCCCCGATCCCCCCCCCCCCTCCACCCACCCACCCACCCACGCACGCACGCACGCGCGTCCCCCCCCACCCACACACACACACATACACACATACACACATACACATACATACATACATACACACACACACATACATACATACATACATACATACATACATACATACATACATACATACATACATACATACATGCATACATACATACATAGATAGCTACATCTATATATACACATACATACAAACAAACATACGAACATGCACGTACTCACATGCACATACATACACACAATACACAACGCACACACACACACACACACACATACCACACACAACACACCATGCACCACACACCACACAACACACAACGCCCAAGACCCAACACCCAACACACAACACACAATACACAATCCACAATACACAATACACAATCCACAACGCAACACAACACCCAGCACACAACACACACAGGCGCACACACAGACGCACAACACACACAACCACACACACACAAACGCACGCACGCACGCACGCACGCACGCACGCAGGCTCGCACGCACACCCACACGCCCACACACACGCCCACCCACACACACACACACACAAACACACACGCACACACAAACCCACACATTCACACAACACACACACACACGCACAGACATAGGCACAGGTACAGGCACATGCATAGACACACTCACACACAGCACAAACACGAGCACAACCACACACAAGTACAAACACAGACTCAAGCACACATACAACCACACACACAAGCACACCAACACACAAACACGCAAGCACACATAACCAAATTCACTCAAACAACCACACACACAGACGCTGACACTGACACCAACACCTGCACTTGACCGTGCGCTTACGCTTGCACTTGTAATTGCGCTTGCACTTGCACTGATGCTCACGCTTGCAGACGAGCTGTTGTCCCTCATCCGTGGCGACGAAGTAGCGGCCAGTTCTCGAACGACGGGACGCACCAGCTCTACTTGCAATCGCCCTTGTGTCGATCGCGCTCAGGCCAATGCCGTGGGGGCAGGCCAAGACAAGCCATATAGTTAAGCATATAAGCAAAGACGCGATTCTAACGGCCAACCGCAATGAGCCTGCAACGAAGAGGTGAGGAGCACACGCGCACACAATCGCACGCACACATTTACATACGCACATACGCACGCTAATGTACACACGGGCGCAGATGCACAAGCGCTCTCTTTCATAGCTGCTACGAGCAAGGGCAACAATATGAATGACACTGGACTGGCGATCACAGGTATCGCCGTCGAATGAAGATGGACGGACTGCTACGCGAAACAGTACAACAGAAGTGCGGTCGAGATGCCGGCTTCGAAAGAGCAGAACAGCTGGAAGACGGATTCCTGCAACGAGGACGCGCACATACACACTGGCTCTCGTTGTCGAGGCCGAGCGGACATCGCTGTTGCTGCTTTGCCGATTGCGCTCTTGCCTGAGAGCGCGAACGCAACCAGATAGCACTTGCTGCTGCTGCGCACACACATACGCATGAGTTGGAGCCCCCCTGTGCTCATGCGGACGAGTCCAGAGACCCTGACCCAACAAATAGATCGTCTAGAGGCCTCCCTGGTGGGGTCGGAGTAGATGGGGTCGAAGGATCGCGCCGCATCGACGATACATCGGCGAGGCATCGGCGATGCCAGCGCAGAGAAAATCGGGCTCCGCATCGAGCCGCATCGAGCCGCATCGGCGATGCATCGACGATGCGGAACGGCGATGCGGCGCGATCTTCCGACCCCATCTACTCCGACACCATCTAGGAGCCTTAGATCGTCTCGCTTGTACTTTCGCCGCCTTCTGGCGACCTCCCGCCAAGATCCGCAGGGCGAAGCCGCCCCCGCTTCGCTTCCGCCGGTTGCCGTCGAGGAGGGCGTGCCCACCTCTCGAGATATTCCGAAGGGCAGGCCCTGCACGGAACTGGTCGTGTGGGATCGCGCAGCCTCCTCCTCCTCCTCCTCCTCCTCCTCCTCCTCCTCGTCCTCCTCCCCCTCCCCTTCCTCCTCCTCCTCCTCCTCCTCCTCCTCCTCCTCCTCCTCCTCCTCCTCCTCCTCCTCCTCCTCCTCCTCTACCTCCTCCTGCCCCTCCTCCTCCTCCCCCTCCTTCTCTCCCCCTCCTCCTCCTCCTCCTCCTCCTTCTCCTCCTCCTCCTACTCCTCCTCCTGCACATGCGGCGGGGCCCCATCCCTTTCAGCACCGTTTGGCTCCTCCCCGCGGGCCAGGAGCTCAAGCTCCCTGCTGGCACCCGTGGTGGTGTCGTGCTCCTGCTCGAGCCTCCACATGAGGGCACCCAGAGTCTTCTCGAAGGAGTCCAACGCCGCCTGGCACTTGCCCTGGAGCTCCCTCTGAGAGGGGTC